TTCCTTCCTTCCCCTGCCCCTATTTCTCATGTTTGTCAGTGGCCATGGATTGTTTTTACAACCAAGGAGGATAAGTGTAATGATAAAGACTAGCTTCCCCAGAACAAAATCCAGGTACGTGTGAGGAAAAGGAAGGGTGAAAGATGTGTATCCTGCCCCATATTAGCCAGTCACCTTACTTTCGTGGCTTTAGGTCTACACAATACTGACTTCAAGGATACATTTTGAGAACTATGTGCTAAGAAGTTCTGGGTCTTCAGAATGTGTAGATGAATGAAAGTATTGGGGGGAAGACAATTGTCTCATGTAACCAAGATTGGCCTCAAACTCAATGTGTAGTTGAGGATGACCTACAACTCCTGATCATCCTGCCTCATTTTCTAAATGTTATTAGTGTTTTACCTGAGTGTATGTCTGTGTACCACCACATGTGTTCTAGTAACCATGGAGGGCGGAAGAAGCCATTAGATCCCCTATAACTAGACCTACAGATGATTAGAATCACCATGTAGGTGCTAGGAATAGAACCTGTGTCCTCTGCAGGATCAGCCAGTGCTCTTAACCACTGAACCATTTCTCCAGCTCCATGTGTATAATATCTTAAAGATATCAAATTCAAAGACACAATGAAAGATGATGACCAGAGGCCACGGTGGTTGTGTAGGAAGATTGGAGATATGTTGATCAAAGGACACAGGATTTCAGGAGAAGTAAGTTCAAGACAAAAGATAGAGAGTAAGAAAGACCCATGAGCTAGGACTATGGGTAAATTTAGGGATAGATAGCAACTAAACCAGTGAGGTTCTGCCTGGTATTTGCAGGGTTATGAGGCCCTGTACTTGACACAGTATTTGCAGAATCTGTTCTGAGACTAGCCCCGGGATGGCTGGGCTAAAGATGCTGTTGTGATAGCACAAACCTGGTCTGCTTGGATTGTTGCTGTACCATAGGTCCTGCTTGATAGACAAAGGGATAACCATACAGACATAAGCATGGTACACAGTGAGAAAAGCTACTATACACATGGTTCAGGATGTACTTGGTCCATGTCAGGGGTTGTAGCAGGGTGTGCTTCCTGGAGGCAAGTTGGGAAGTGTGAGATGCAATATGGAGGCCAACCCAGTGCATATGGGACAATGTTCAGAGTACCAAGCAAAATGAATAGCCCTGGAAACATTGAACACACAACAGATGCCTATGCTCTGAAGCTGTTGCAGTCCTGGGCTGTAAGACTGCAAAGAGGGGAGTTCAAGTTCAGTTAGCAGTCCCACCCCCAGCTGAGTCCTGGGTATTCCTGGTCCCACTTTATAGATGGGAAAAATGGAGCTAAGAAAACAAATACTAGTTTCCACCACATATATCCCAGCTCAGATTGCTCCTCAAAGCCCATGTCTTCCTCATGCATATTCCTGTGTAGTGAGAAGTGATTAGACTACATTAGCTAGAGACCTATGTGTCTTTGTCAAAGAACCCCAAAGATGCAACTTTCCTCAGCCTCCACCTCTACCATCTCTATAATGTCATATGCTGCAGGGTAGTGAGATCCATTCAGTGGGGGAAGGAGAGCCAAACCTTTCCTAAGGTATTTCTCATTGAAAACATAAATACCCACAACGATAGACAAGTTAAGTGTGAAGATGGAATGATCATTTTCTCCCTGGACCTGAATGCAGGTGAACCCTGGTGTGACTAAGCAAAGAGACAACATAAGGCCCTGTCACATGCTAATCAAAAATGATGGAATTCACCCAGCAGCAGTAGTTGGCTCCCAACTCCAACAGGACCTCCTCCACTGGAAGCATCTCTCTCTCTCTCTCTCTCTCTCTCTGGAGGATAAGTTTTCATCAGAGAAAGCAGTGGCCCTCCCAGATCCCTGCCCTCATCTTTGCATCATTCCTTATCAATCTGATGCCTGAAAACAGCAGAGGCAGTTGGGACAACAAAAACCCTGTTACAAATACTGCTAAGAACCCCAGTGCATAGCTACATAGCTGGCAAAAACACAGAAGACTTCTCACATGGTGTCTCGCACGCTTTTTCCTCCAACGGTACTGTGGGTTAGAAGGCCAATGTTAGGTGAATGACTGTCCATCTAGAGAGCATTCAAGGGAACAAAGAAATGAGGGTGATGCAGGACAATAAACCCATGCCTACTACACTGTCCTTGAACTCAGATCACAGAGTCACAACCTCCATCAACTCCCACCTCATCCCCTTCTTACTTCAGGTCACTGGGGTCACCTCCTGTGAGTAGAAAGCCCAGAATCAAAACTTTCTTATGGTTTCCCAGTAATGAGAATCCACAGACCTCTCTGAAGACTGTTTGAAGTAGAGAGCTCAGGGTATATCTGCATAGTAAGGGAGCATGCCTGCTTACTTGGCACTCAGCATTCCACACCTGGCTTCCTGGGGACTTTGAGTCTCCATGAACAACCTTCTTTCACTCTGCTAGAATCACAGCTCATTCACTAATTAAAGGGTATTACACACTTCATTGCACACCAGCTAAGAAGTTGGAATAAGGGAGCTTGTGCTTCAGCATTCACCCTGGTGATGATGCTCTGGGCTTTATAGAAAAATCAAATTCAGAAAAAGAGCATCCCCAACACTTAAATTCTCTAATATGTCACGGAGCTTAGAGAAAGAAGGCACCCAGTGTGTCACAACCCCCAGCAGAGGTTGTAAGAAAACCCACTGGAGATGGATGGCCATCCCAGAATGAGAGAGGAAGTTGGAAAATAGGCTTCTCCAACAGCTACACAGGCTCACTGCTGATGCAGGAGCCCAAGTAAAGCTAGCCTCCAACCAAGTCCCAAAGAACACAAAGGTGTGTCAAGAGGTTTGCTCCTCAGTGTGGGGGCTTGGACATGTTCCCTATTGTGTTACCCCAAACAGAGGCTGGCATGGGTGCCCACTGTTAACCATTGGTAAAGAACAGCTTCCTATCACACACCTGGAGTGGGTATCACTTTGACATACCTGAGTGGATAGAAGAGAACACCAAGGGACTCCCTCTCTTCAGCACTTGGAGATGTTATACACAGAGGGGTTAATCCAAGGATGGGCACCCAAAGAGATGAGATTGACACATACTGTCAGCCTTGTCTGCAGGCAACTCCAGTGTTTCAGAGGGTCAGGAGCCCAGGTAAGGATTTAAGACCTGACTTTGGGCTGCTTGGGATACCAGCAGTTTAAATGACGGGCCAAATGCAAACACGCAATCTGAGATCAGCAAGCCTCTGCTTCTACACACAACTTGGGCATGAGCTTAGCTACCAGTCACCCATGCCATCATGAGGATGCATTTGAAGGTGCTTAAAGACTTGTGCCAGGGTCTGCTGCCCAGGATGGCCACCCTGAGGAACCCTGCATCTGTTGTCTGTGGGTTCCATGTGTGCACAGGCAGCCAGGGGAAGAGCCGAATGCACATTCAAGCTTCACAGTACAGCAGTGAGGCTGAGCGTTGCCAGGCACTCAAAAGCATGGGCTGGAACACAGCGATGGTTTCAGCCTCCAAGAATGAGGCATTTTCCCCAGCCCTTCCCAAGGCCCCTCAGACATCATTTGTGCATGACATATTTTAGGATCCTGTTTGCTCCTTTAAGAAAAGCTGCCCACTTCCTTCTCCAGCTCAGACTGGCTTCATCTTCAGCAAATGCTGCTGTCAGTTTGGCTGCGCTCTTCCCTTGGAATGTTTAAAAGGGATAATAATACAAAACGGCTCCCCCAGGAAACAGCTCCAGCACACAGACTGTGAGAGGCAATGCCCCTGGCACTCTGGGCTCTTTCAGAATGAGAGACAGCCAACAGCAAGTGCAGAGGCTGAAGCCAGAGGCTGGCTGGAACATAGAGAGAGCCCCAGAGCAAGAGGCAGGTGGCTCTGGGAGGGGGTGGGAAGGGCTGCACTACGGGAAAAGGAGGTAATGTCTTAATGAGGCAGAGCACCTCAGACAAGTGCTGACTACATAGCCCAGTTCCCTTGATGACTACTGTGCCTGCCATCCCCAACTTGTCACTGCATTTTAGATCAAGACTCTGGGTCCCTGAAGCTCTCCTTCCCCCTGCCCCAGGAAGCTGTGGGGAAAGCAGACATGCTGGACTGCAGGAGGATCCCACAGTTCCTGATATCCCAGGCTTGTCTGGCAGTGTGGAAGAGACGGTAGCTACTGTCTGACCTGTTACACCAAGTTATGCCTAGTAGTCCACTAATTGGCTGAGTGCCCTAGCGGCAGCAGATCTTCTCCCATCTTTCCCCCTCAGCCCCCTCTGGCAAACCCATCCTGAACATGAGCCATATCCCCTCCTCTTTACTCAGCTCCACACTCCCCTCCAGGCTTTCCAATCCCACAGCTGCTCACCCCCCTCCCCACAACCTCCTCCTGCACCCACGTCGTGAAGCAATTGTACACAGAGAAAACGAGCCTTCGAGTTTCAATCTAAAGCTCCCAGACAAGCCAGCCTCCGGGACCTCCTCACAGCAACTGTCATCTCTGCCCACCCTCTACAGGAACCTGTACCCTCACTCTCCTCTCTGCCCAAGCACCATGGACAGCTCACGGCTTCATCCTGCCTGCAGGAGGACCAGCGGATGAAGCCTCTGGGGATCCTCTCCTCCTCATGCAATTCAGGCAAGAAAAGGAAGGAAAGAGCCTTCCACACCTCTGCAGCATCACCTGCTCAGTGAGTTCCCACAGCCACGGGAGCCATTCAGGCTATCTGGGGCCCCACACCCCCTCCTGTGACAGCTTTAGCTCCAGCCCAGCCCACAGGATACAGAGCCTGATGCCACTTCCGAGCAGAGAGAGAACGAGATGAGAGAGAGAGAGAGAGAGAGAGAGAGAGAGAGAGAGAGGATGCCATCTCACCAATGACAAGCTATTCCTGTCACACAGCTCGGACATCAAGCACCTTGGACAATGGACAAGCCAGGCCTCTTCCCTCTGACTGGGAGAAAGGCCAACTCAGCACACCCCAACAGCAAGCCCCCACCATAGCTCTCCAATCTGAAAGGACCACAGTACTCATCTGGCAGGTAACCTTTTCTACAAACAGGTCCAATACCTCTCACCAGCTACCTATTTGGCCTTCAGCTGGGTCTCTGCCCTCTCCCCTGCATGGCAGAGACCCTAAGCCAAACAGAAGGCCAGCAGCGCACCACTTCTAGCGAAGAGTAAGCACAAGAATGAACTGCAAACCAAGTACTCACCGTGGTGAAGTCTTGGTGTCCACACTCCTGCCCCTTGAACTTGCAGTATAGCATCATATCCTTCAGGTCATGCCCTACCCGGTGCAGGAACTCCAGCATGCTGAACTGCTTTGGTTTGTAGTGTTTGAAGTTGGCCTTCTGTCGCAGGGCCTCCAAGACTGTGGGGTCCGCCAGATGCGGATCAGGAATCTGCAGGTTGACATCCAGCAGGGCCAGTAACTCCCCAGCGTGGTACAGGTCATTGGTGGTGAGCCTGGAGAACCGAAAGCCATTGAGGTTGCAGAGGGTCACAGCAGGAAAAACCAGGCTCTGGGCCACCACCTCATCCACCTTGGTGACATGCTGATATGAGAAGTAGTAGGACACTCTCTCAGAGCTTTCAACCAGCAGCAGGCCCAGGGAGCCCACGAAGGCCACTGCCCAAAGCACACGCCGGATGGTCAGTGGCCCATACACGAAGATGTGGCGGATGCCATGGAGAGTGGATGTGTTGGCGAAGATCTGGATGCTGGAAGGTTGCAGGCTGCCCTCGCTGGGGCTCTCCTTCAGGTCCATCGGGACCCTGTGCAGTTCCGCAACTGGCTTCAGGTTGATCAAATCTCAGGGAAGAGTTCCCAGTCTTCTGAATTCTGCCTTGGCGTTCAAGGCAGAGATCGCCGGGCAAGCATCAGGCCAGACACTGGGAGTTTATCCTGAGAGCCTGGCCGCACGCTGACAGGGGTAAGTGTTTATATAAAACCCATTCAAACTCTAGCTCCTGATTTTTTCCAGGCGATAAGGAGGGCTGGTTTTATTTAGGGAGACACCAAGGTGATGTGGAAGGGATGTGGGTGGGAAGGGAGCGCTTAGCCAATGGAAATAAAGTCCTCCCCCCTACACACGCCACTAGAGACAAGATTAAAAGCGAGAGCGAGGGAGAAAATGCTTAAAACAAGTCGCTGAGCAGCTCGGAGCCTGTTAACCGGCGCATAATGCCCCGTGTTAAGCATGGGGGGGATGTCAGCACAGCCACGCTGATGCAGTGCAGTGGGGCGCCGCGGCTTCCTAGCAGCGGACTCTTAGCTTCTTCCTGGGGATGTCTGGGACCCTGGCCGCGGTTTCTGGCTGCCTGCTTCCATCCCTCCTTTCTCTCCTCCTTTTCCGGCCCCCTTTTGGGTTCAGAATTCCAATTGAGAGCCGCGGCTGGGAGAGGACGCTGCGCTCCGCCTCCAGCAGGAGAAACAGGGATGCGGGAGCTCCTGTGGGCTCCGTGCTCTCAGCCTCAGGAGAGCAAAGAGAGACCAGTGGGATCAGAGCGAGCCCGTCCCCCAGGCCTGCCTCCCGCGAGGTTGCTACAGGAAGGGAGGCTTGTGCTGGAAGCAGGGGCTGGAGGAGAAAGTTTTTTTTTTTTGTCTTTTTTTAGGAGCTGCTGGGGGTCTTCTACTCCAGGTATCCAGCCACTACCAGAGGAATGAGAACTTGATCCCCTTTCCCCAAGGATGCAGCAACGTGGGTATTTAGCTGCATGTGTGGCTGTTGTAAGATGCTGGCAAGTGTTCCTTGCCAGTTAGAGCTTCAGGGTCTCATCCACAGGAGACCCCATGGGAGAGATGCTGAAAATGAAGGGAGTAATTTAAAACCACGGGGTCTCCGCTGCAGGCTGGAGAGGGATACACAAGAAGAGTAGAGAGAAGCCCTTCTAGAGATTGAAAATTCAGTGTGCCCATAGGAACCCCAGAGGAAGAGCAACAAGTACCACCCACCCCCATATGGCTGGCTGTCAGGACTTTTTGTGTTTAACAAAGGAAGCCAGCTGGGTGCCAGGTAGGACTGGCTGCATTCCATTCTGTTTGAGAGGTAGGTGTGTGTGTGTGTGTGTGTGTGTGTGTGTGTGTGTGTGTGTGTGTTGTGTTCTGTCTCAGGATTTGCCAGTGTGTGTGTGTGTGTGTGTGTGTGTGTGTGTGTGTGTGTGTGTGTGTTGTGTTCTGTCTCAGGATTTGCCAGATGGAATTACAGCTGGAGCTGTAGGTGAGAGAGAATGGGCTCTCAGCCTCCTACCTCCTGCTTCCTGAAAATCCCTTGTAAGTCAGACCCCTGCTGGCTGATAGGTGTGGCTTGACTGCCTGCCCCTTGCCAAGGATCAAGTGGCTGGCATCTATTGAATCAGAGATAAATTCTCATCAGGATGAAAGGAAGTGAAAGTTAGTGTAGCCAACTGAGCCACTCAGCCAAGCTGGGATACAGCCACATGGAGGCAAGTGTCTTGGAGAGCCAAGCTGGTGTCTCCAGGGCATGCCAGATTTAAGAAGGTGGAGGAAAGGGTGGCTTAGGTCATGTTCTTCTAGGCTGGTGGCCATTCTGAAATGTTCTCCTGTCCCATCTGGCTTCTTGCTAAGCAAGACCCGCAGAGACAGTTCCCAGAAAGTACTCAGAGGTGACACATGGGGCATGGTCTTGGCAGTTTATCAATCAGGGATAACATGACAAGTAGGCCTTGTGCCTTTGCAAGCCCAGAGTCCTAACCTCAACAGGACACTGGCTTGTAGACCAAGAGGACCAAAACCAGTCTGAATTTTTTCTATGCCTCAGGACCTGTGTGAAATGCTATATTGGGCCCACACACCCCTCTCAACTGCCTTGGCAAGTGAATGTTCTGGGTTTTATCCCCATCCTACTGAAGAGGCAGCTCAGGTCTGCAACAATGACCTGCCTTGTCCAAATCACACAATCACATAGCCAGTAGCATGGAAGCTGAGACTTCATCCTGGGTATGTTGCCTCTGAAATGGCTTTTAAAAAGCAGATTCAAATTTCTCCATCTCAAATTTAGGAAAGGATTTCTACCCCCCTCCCCCACCCATGTTCTCTCTGTGTCTCACACACAGACTACCCCTCACATGTATAGATTCCCCTCCTTGCCTTCTCTGGGTCAAAGGATGCCCCTATTGCCCCTTTTCACAGTTGAAGGTTCTCATACAGAAGACTTGTGGATTCTTCTCACCAATCTTTGGCTCATCAGTCTAACTAGTAAGTGTGTTCCCCTTAACTCCAGTCCAGACACTATGTTGATTTGAACAAAACAAGATGAATGAAATACATGGCCTACTATTAATACCTCAAGGCTCAGGGACGTGAAGGCAGAGACAGGCACACGGGTCTCCGTGCCATGGTCCTGATGGTAGGCTCCTCCTCTCAGCTGTGCCCAGCTGGAAGCCATGTAATATAATTTTCGCTACATTCTGTCCCCTCACCAACAACTACTGCTCATGCTATGCTCTTTTACCTCCCCTCTTCTTCTCCTGGAGTCAGTTTCTCTCTGTCCAGACATGTTTTCTCATATGCGCAGAGATGGATCCTAGAGTAGATCTCATCACTGCACCCCTATGTAAGCCCATTTATTGCTCCTTCACCTCTATATTGGATCGGAGGCTCACAAGCATGGCAGGGCAGGGTGCTGTGGTACAGTCACACAGACCTCAGTTTTCATCTCCCATCTGCTCTGCCTCCTTCTGCTGTGTGACCTTGGAGAAAGTGTCTAAACTTCCCAGAACGTTCATTCCCCTCCTCCACAATGGTGGGGCTTTGGAATGGCAAAGGAAAGCAGATAATGTTGTGAAGTGTTTGTACAATTTAAACACCTAGCAATTAATGCTTTTGATGAATGCTGGGAGAAGAAAAGTGCTTTGTTGATGTTGTGACTGGGGAACAATTTAAAGCTTTCAAACATGTGTTTTGCCTCAGGCACTGCATATCTGAAAGGCCAAGGTCAAACACAACTTTGCCTTCTCTTCTGCTTCCTGTCCACAGCCCAAAGATGATCTCAGGGTCTTTTTGACTCTTGCAAGCAGGCTAGGAACTTTAGGATAAGTAGAGGACCAAAGGATAAAGACCCTAATGGTGAGTTCCATTGAAAGTCACCAGGCTCTGTGCTGGGTGTCTCTGGATCTTTCAAATGCCAGGAGTACCACTGAACCCAAGTCACAGAAGAACCTGAAGATGGAGAGAAGGGCTACCTGGTCCATGAAACCACCGCTGAAAACTAGAAGAGTTGACAGTCAAACTCTTACACATCTGAGTTGGAAGATACAGTCCACAGACTGCATCAGATACCATGGCGCTAGAGCTGAATCAAAGGGCCAGAGATGGACAGGGTTTTCAAGACATAACCACTGTACCATTCTCTGTCATAGCTGGTTCTTCATAATGGCTAATAAAATATTCCCTCATGGCTCTTCTTAAGGGCCCTATTGAGCTGGTAAGAATCACTTGCAATTAACACCATGGTTTGCACACAAACATTAGATATTGTCTATTCTTAAAAATGTTTTTTATAGCATTCAGTTGGTTAAACATTTTCAGTATCCATCAGATTCCCAGTACCTTTTGCTTAGCTCTGGGGCACATGCCGAGGGCACAGGCATCAGATTTAGAGTGGGTCTACTTGGCCCAGTTTTTTAGGCACTGCCCTAATTGTGTATAATTATGGTCTTTTTTGTGCACTGCACAACTAAACATTAAAAAATAAAAAAAAAAAAACCTTTCCAGATAAATTCATGTGAAAATTAGCCAATTTAACTCCCTATTAGCCCATGTCTCCAGAGTTTTGCTACAGCAAATCTATTTATTTCCTTAAGAACAAATAAATAGATGTATTTGTGAATTTTTCTCTGTTTTTATTATGAAGTGCCAGGAGACAGGGAGGTGCTCTTTTCCAACCTTGAGGACCCTAAGGTCTGTCCTAAATGTGTCTACCTGGTGGTCCCAGGGTAGTGGTGCCTCCTCTTGCCTTTGCCTCTGAAGAGAGTGGCAGGCACAGTTAGACAGGGTGGGTCCTACAATCAGCCCCAAAGCTAATTTCTAATTTGCTTCTTAACTTGTACTAGATACTGGTTGAAACTGCCATCATCCCTAATTAGCAAATAAATAAATAAATAAATAAATAAATAAATAAATAAATAATGCATTCTTTTCAAACATGCAGATAGAATTATTTTTCAGACTCCCATGGTTCCTCATTGCAGTTAACCCAAGTGTGGCCCTCTGTAGACTGGTTTATACGCACACAGCTTTTACATCAATGAGTCCTATTTCTTTCCTTTCTTCTGTGGATCTTTAGCAGTAATTCTCAATAAAGAGCATACCAGGAGGGTACATGAAGCAAAGCAGTGCATTTAGTGAGTCCTTTTATTTATTCATTCATTTTTATTCATACGGATTTTTTTGCCTGTTTGCATGTCTGTACATCACATGCATGTCTAGTGTCCTTGGAAGCAAGAAGAAAAAGGCATCACACCATCTAGGACTGGAGTTACAGATAGCTGTGAACCACCATGTGGGTGTTGGGAATTGAATCTGAGAAGAGCACCCAGTGTTCTTAATGGATGTGCCATCTCTGTAGCTCCTAATGAGTAATTCCTTTAAAAATCTTACCTATTATTACTTGCTCTCCAAGTAAAACTACAGAAGCCTGTTCACAAGAGTGGACTAATGGGACTCAGTTGCAAATTGGCCTGACCCTAGGATAGATTTAATTTGCTGTGTGGCCTTCAGGAAACCATAGAATATCTCTGTGTTATTTGTGCTAACTCATTCCTGGGGCCTCTGGTTGCTGGTACTGCTGTTGCTGCTGCAATTTGACACTGGCCTTGACCGAATCATAAATGCCCAGTTAATGGGATAAAAATGAGCTGGAATCTGGGATTCTTGTCGTTAACCCCATGCCACCATCTGCTGGAGTAAGATGAGGGTAGGGTTAGGGGGTTTGGGGGTCACCTGGTACTTGTCAGACATACAGATTCCTGCCATCTTCTCCTCCCAGGCCATTTCCACAGATTTAGGGGCTGCGAGGTTGGTGAAAGGCAGCTTAAGACATCACCCAAGACCATCTGTGATGGGCCTGATAGAGGCCTTTCCTGTTTGCCAGCCCTGCTAAACTGTTCTGTGCCTTTTCATACTGCATTTCCCCCTGCCTGTAAAGAGCCTGCCAGCCTTCACCTCCCCAGAGGAGCCTTGGCTGCCCCATCTCCAACTCTGTTTCCATTCCCTATCTGCCTGCTGCATCCCTTCCCCTCTTCAGGGCACTAATAATTTTTGGTAACTTGTCTCACCTCCTCGTGAACTATCGGTTATTCTTACTAGAGTGTGAATTCATACTCTGTCCCCTTATGAGAAAAGACAACCTGCCTGGCTGGTTGGGCCCTGTGTCTTGCAGGTTATAGGGATTCATGAATCAATGGACATATGACAGGATGTGTTCACCTCTGCTGTCAAGGCTACAGAAATGGAGACTCTGCCATCCCCGGGGACCTGGGGCCTGTCCTGAGGAAAGTAAGAGTTCCTCTGCCCCTGACTCTGCCCTTTACTGGACTTGCCCTAGTTCCATACTGGAACAGAAAATGCCTGATGTCAGGCCCTGCAAACTAGTTATCTCTTCCTTCCTTGTCTGTGCACTTAGGTGAGAGCCAGGGCTAGAAAGGAACCTGAGCTGCCTGTCTGCCTCCACCAGGGAGCCATTTCATCTTCTCTGCACCCCACACGTGCGAATGGACAGCTAAGGCTTCTCACAAGCTCTCTACACCCCTCCCCCAACACCAGCTCCAGAATTGTGATAGCCAAAATAAACTACATAAACAGTAGGTATTCAATAAATGCCAGCTACTGTGAAAACAGCAACGCAATTCACAACTTCAAATTGTGCCTTGCTCTTCAGGCAATTTTTTTGAATAATCAAAAATCAGTTGATAATGCATCCTTGCCTTGTAGTATGGAATTAGTACCTTTAACTCTGATTTTGTTTACTTTAATACATCTCTCCTTAACCCGAGTCTCATGGGTGGGCTGACTTTCTCTCTACTAGTCTCAGAGGAGGCTTTGGACTATGCCTGACCATAGCCACTTTGATCCTGAAAGCCTTTAATCTAGAGCGCCTGCTTAAAGATGACACATAAATACCCTCACTCGGGTAAATAAAGCAAGCCCCAGCAGTAGGAAAGTACCAGTACCGGGAGGCCCAGCATTGTCATCCAATTTCAAGTCATTTCCCTTCCTCAAGGGCCTGAAAGGCTGGTCCACTCTTTGCTGCCAGCTCTGTGTCTCCGTCTCAAAGCGACCCTCCTTCATACTCTTTGTATGAGTCCTCTTCTAGTCTGCCTCTGTCCTTCTGTCCCCTGGGAAGAAAGTAGAAGAAAGAAACCATGACTATTTGTTTTCTCTCGGTCACTCAGTCCCTGAAGCCAATTGCTTCACAGGCAAGGAGGAAAAGGCACAAGCTGGTCTGAAGTCAACCGTCCACAGCTGGCTTTCAACAAAAACTTTATGAGTACCACCTTGGCCATAGGTGAGCTGGCTTTGTGTGGAGTGGGAGAGGTGGTGTGTGGAGTCAGCCTCTATGCTCTGAGTGGAGCTGCCTCTCCCCCTTGTGTTCTGCATGTGGGGTTGCAGCCTCTGCTGTGCATCCTTGATGGCAATGGTGACTGCAGGACTCTAAGCACCTCACGGACCCCTTTGGGACACCAGTGCCCCAACCTGTCTGCCTTCCTATTCATCACTCTCCATTGCTAAAAATTTGCAAGCATGCCCAGGCCAGAATGCACCACGCACCTGCGTGCATTGGCTAACCTTCCTGTATCCTCTGGGTAAGAAAGTAGTTACATTAATTTGATTCTTTTACTCTGTAGTTCTTTCTAAATGCCAGGTGAAACCAACACAATGAAGTGGGAATTTTGAAAAAGCAGAAAGCATGGTAGAGATAGAGAAAGGAGAAATGCATCTCTGTTCAGCATTTTCTGTCCATCAACATGGTTCCTGCTCCAAACTCATAACAAGGTAACATGTAAGTACTCCCTGGGACCATGGCATCTATTTGCCAACTGCATAGCTGTGATGCCCCCCAGAGATAATGATAAAACAAAGCAAAACAGCAGAAGCAACAACAACAATAACAAAACAACCAAAAGAATTATCCCTATTTTCATGAGGATTTTTCACCTCTTGGGTGAGGCACTGACTAATGTCTCTTTTCTGTTCACCTTTGATGTGACACAAAGTGTGGCTCAGAGAGTCCAGTTTCCTCATTCTGGATTCCAGGTTGTTTGTACTCTGCTGCTATTCTACTCAGCCCCACTCACATGTGCTCCACAGAGCTTTGATTGGAGAATATCTGGGGACTAGCCCTAACAAGAGAACACAGCTCTGGGAGGGGAAGCCAATGAGATCAATAGGAAACACTGGGGAGGGAGATGAATGGAAATCGATGTCTTAGCCACTCCAGGACCCGGTCAAAGACAACAGGGTCCTTTTCGCGGTATCCCTGGGTCTGTCACAATAAGAGGAGCCATGACTAAAGAGCACTGTTGAGGTGAATAACCATCCAGTCCTGCTCCTGGCAAAGAGAGACGCATATGATGTGTATCCTTGCTTCATGTCTGATGAAGTGATCAAGCTACTAAGGATTTACAGCTTATTAGTTTGGGTCTGAACCCTTTGCCCAAGCAGTGTAGAAAGGGACCATGGAATAAAGAACATCATACCATTGTCCAATACACTGTGTATACAGGGCTGTGGCTTTTGGAAGCCATGTCATTGAGACGCACTACTCAATTCTCTACAGGTCAGATCCCATGTAGGGAAAGAAATCTATGTACATCTGGAGGTGTATATTCCAGGGCCACACATACATTTTGCCCTTTTCACAAACAAGCAGGCCAGGCTTACAGGGGGCCAAGTAATGTGACCATGGCCCCAACACTGGTGTGGGGACAATTGTCAGGTAAGAGTCCATGGTGGCTGACTCATGCTGCTCCCCTGTGCCCTTGGAGACCAGGACCCAACACACACATTGGTCGTTGTGTGCAGCCTTGCTTTGCTCATCTGTAAGATAGAGTCAGTGGTAGC